GTTACCAGGATGTTGTTCAGCTTAAATGGATATCATCACTCGATTACATTTAGGAAAAAAAAGCAAAACCAAAATCTATTTCAAGCTAAAGTAACTGTCACAACCTAAAGAGTTGCCTTCGTAGTTATGACATGATAAATTATGAAACAGCTACAGGGGGAATAAAAGAAGCACTAAAGCCTTTTGTTATAACATGGAGCCGGATCGAGGATCTCTTGTTGAAAACAATGATTCCCCTGTCTGCTGTCTGTTCAGTGTTGATGGACTGACACAAGGAGAGATGTAATAGAACAGCATCTCCCTCTGCTGGCAAATGCTGCAAACAGCTTCCTCGTGCTTCAGAATAGAACAGACTAGAATACAACAGAATGAACTTTATCCAGGAGTTCATACTGTACAGTATTCACAACTAACACTGGCATTTTTAAATAAATCATCCAGTTTGTATCATGCAGTTAGAACTTTATTTGCCTATTCCACCATTATAACAATCAATAACGTTTACATGGCACAATAATGCTTATATTTTAAGACTGATAGAACTCTGCATTATTATAATATGAAACTAATAATACTGGACCGAATGCTGAAGTGTGGATTATGTGCAGAAGAATATGGGATATTGCATGCATTGTTTCAGTTCTGAGTATTGGATCCTATTTCACATTTAGTACAGACATACACAGAGTACCTGGCAAGTAGGGCTGGCAGGCAGTGATAACATTAAAGGCTTAATCAGAATATGGCAGTCATATAGAACTAAGTCCTATTTTAGTCACCGTAAAACTGGTCTTGTACTACACAAGATCTTGTATTTATAGACCCCTAGCTCCATCACTTTACATGTACTATTTTATGCATAGCATTCAGACTGAAATACATTCCACGCATAGACATGGAAATGAATAATGTGGGTCTCTACTGCAGAAAAATATATAATAGATCGGATTTTTAATTCATTAATCAAACATCTGTACAGTTGTACATTTGAAGAAACTGACCTAGATAAAGAAACTGAGGTGAGCTGTAAACAAGTTTAAACTGAATTCACACGCGCCACACACATGCCTCAAAAACATTTTCCAAAACCTTCAGATGTATTGTGAAGAGAGCGCTGGTGAACAGCGTGTTTAGATTCTTGTTTTTCTAGCCGCCAAAGTGGAGCCACTAAACTGTCAGGGAAACTGTTGTGACACCTGACTGGTAGTGATAGCAACGAGGCAGCAGACAGAACTAACACAGGCTGCACCCAGAGGATGCTACTGTGGCTTGACAAGAGGAAGTTAAACAGCATGTGTTCAAGATAAATTGAAAGATAACAAAAGAAGGCTAGTATGTGAAGGTTGTTGTTGTGGATGCTTGCAATGACAAGGGGTCACTGATCTGAATCCAGGCGGAATTAGCCAGTCCCTAAGGTACGTCATAGAGGATTGGTCTGGTGCAGTAGGTTCAGTCATTTTTTTTTTTACAGCTTCTCTTGTTCTCCAGGGAATGAAATGACGTGTCCTGAAAAAAATGTTTTGCCCAAACTCACTTATATAATGTGTCTGTGTTAAAAAAAAAGGAAAATCCTCCATAAAATAGAAACATTTCTTATAATCCTGAACAACTCAGCATTAATGTCTGTTCTTAAACTGAACAACAGAGAGACATACTGCAATGATGATTTTATTTAGAGACTCTAAATCTTGGAGCCGCTCCACAGATTGTATATATTGAAACAATTATGTCACAGCCCTTAATTTCACTGGACTGTGGACTCTTCATCTAACTCGCAACACGATGCTCAACATTCAAATAACACTTGTTTTAATGTCACATCTCAAACACAAACTCTCTAAGCCTGGTGAGTCAGTCGCTCATACCAAGTAAGTGGGCAAACTCCACCAACTCCACCTCCACCTGCTGACATCATCAATTCAAGTCATGACACTTTACTGTCCAAAAGCTAAATATAGATTGTTATAGCAGAATTCCCTTTAACAACTTTAAAATATCAACATGTGCCTTGATTTGCGTACAGTTTAATCAAAACTGAGTGCTATTCATAGTCTGTTTGCTCAAACTGGTTAGTTCTAGATACACAAGTAAGTCTTGTGTAAAAATCTGATTTAATGGTTTGCAACAGTTCTGACATATTACATACACGGGTAGCTTTCAAACAACTGCAACTCTCGTTTTCAGCACAGCTCTGTTTCAGCCTGTGCACCTTCTACCTCAGCACCAAACCTGCTTTCCTGTTTTAAAGACGCTGCAACTTGCACATCTCTCACAAATAAAGGTGTGCTTTGATAGAAAATATTTTTTTCCTGCCCACACATTTAGTCGCCCCCCCCCCCCCCTCCTTCCTTCCTCTCGGCCGTGTGGCACATGGCAGCTTTTCCTCTGCCATCCTGTCGGCCTGCAGCAGATGTGACATCACTACAGCTCGTCTCTACTCTGCACCCCCCCCCCCAATCTCTCTGACTCCCCAGCATCTCTGTCTCCCACGCATTCCTTCTTTCTCTCTTCCTCTGCACACACACAGCCATTTTGATCTAGCAAACAAGGTCTGAGAGACTCACTGGGCTAGAGAGAGGAGGGGACGAGGAGAAGTGAAGAATTGAGGAGGAAAAGAAAGAGAGGCACAGGCTTTCAGTGCAGGGAGATAAAGCTGAGCCAGTCATGTTGTTGTGTAACGGTAATCAAAAAAGCCTTGGCCGTTTGGCTGCCATCTTGGCTCTGCTTTAAGTCACTTTTCTCCAATCAGGAGCCATGTGACTTTCTGCATGAGGTAACGCCACTGTTACTGCAAAAGCCAGTGAGCGAGGGATGAGGGGAGTGACAGAGAGGGAGAGAGGGTGAAAAAGGAAAAGGGGGGAAAGAGTGAGATGAGGAAGGCAGAAACGGGAGGGAGGGGTTAGAGTGAGATGGGTGAGAGACGGAGAGAGTGGTGAGCAGAGGGGAGCACATGCTTGAGTGGGTGCATGTGAGAGTGGAGGGGGGGTATCTTCAGCTCACAGGCAATCTATTTTTACCATTTAGTCTGAACAAAGGATGTGATTGGCTCCACTGTGTTAGGACGGATCTCCTTCATGCGCGGAACAAAGCCATAAAAAGGCTGATTCACAGCAAAGTCACAACAACAGCAGGATGTCACAGTGTTGTCAATGAAACTGACAGACAGGAGAAGTCTGTCCTTTATGATGGCTCGCATTCTGTCACATGCAAATACGATCAGTTCAGATTCCTCTGTTCAGTAATACTCTGACCCAGTAACTGAACAAAGGGAAAAGAAAAGAAAAAGTGATGTTAGAATAAGAGAGGATTTGTTTTTCCAATGCAGACTCACACACAAAAGATGGGGAGGATCTTCCATCCACCATCATACAAGAATGTAAACAAACCAGCCTTCAAATATAATGATTTACAGTGCACGCACAGGGAGGGAGAGAGAAACCAGTGTTGATCAATGCCGCGCTGTGGCTATCTGAGAGATCTACCAGCCTAAACTTGTCATAGCAGGCTCCTCATTCAGTTGTACGAGCGTACGTGCATGCTGCAAGTTTGCACGCATGCCTGCATGTGTAAACCTGCGAGCATTTGACCGTTGGTGCACAACGCGCACACGCGGCAGACCTCTCTGCTTCCGACCTCTTTTTCTCAATACATCCTTCGAGAACATGTGGATGTCATTAAAAGTTTCTGCTCCACGGTAAAGTCTGTCAACAGAGGGAGCGAAGGAGGCAGAGATACTGGAAAACTACAGGAGAAAGTGACGAAGCGAGATAGTGAAGAGAAAAGATCTGAGAAGAGAACATCAAGCAGAGGCCTCTCTAATTTTATTCAATCTGATAGCTGACTACCAATGAATCAGAACAGCCCCATTAAAATGATACTGACACCCTAATTCAATCTGTCCTCTCTGAGATCCCCCTAAGCAGATGCTACGATTCAATTTCTATCTGTTACTTGCTCCCTGGTGCTGTACGAAGCTCGTCCCCTGGCACTGTAAGGCTTTCACTATGCACAAGGTAACCGTCTCTGTAGCCTGCCTGCTCTCACTGGGGTACCGTTAAAGAGAAATTGCTCCAAAGTCAAATAAGGATCAAGCACTCTATGAGAGAGAACACATTATAAGATCTACTTGATAAAAATTGCAAAAAAACGTTTCTGCTTGCCAAAGACTGACACGTGCAGACAGTATTACATTTCCTTCCTCTTGCTCTGACACAGTAGCACAGGAGCAGAGTGTGGATTGAAGTACCAGTAAGACAATGGCAGTAAATCATATTTTATGTAATCTTTATTTAAAGCTTAAAAATCAGGAACGATTTCAGGAAAAGCCAAGCCAAGCGTGACAACTGCATAACGAATGAAAATATGCAGGAATGCAAAATGCAAAGTCACAATGACAAAGAGCCGTCTAATAATCCAAACAGCAGCACTCCAAATTCAACTCTTAGTTAAATCTTCTCAAGTGCCCTCATTAGTGGTTTAAACTCATCAAGAGAGACCAGCTTTAAACAATTCTGCAGTGAGTAAATTACTTTTGCCTCATTCAGTTCGGACCCATGGTACAAATATGAAAAACAATTCCTGACAGTGTGGTGACTTAACTCTTCTAGACATACAAAGGCACAAATAATCAAGAAGACCTACAGTGGAGCAGAGAAAAAGAGTGAAAAGAAGTACTTATTGATATCCCAGCGTCTGTGTATGTGGCAAAACTCAAAGAGCCAGATCAATGGCACAGCAAGCTAGCGTGACTGAGAGGGTCTGCTGAACAACTCAATCCTAAAGTGTGGTAGCCTCAAGTCTATAACCTTGTTTTAGGACATGTGTTGAGAGTGTAGCATGGCTTCACGAACACACACACACACACAAAGTCACACTCACACAGCTGGCCCTAGGCAGCTTTGCAGCACTTTTACATAAGTCATTTCTCTGACAGCAACACTGAGCACGGAAAGAGGGAGAAGAGAGGCAAAGACAGTGAAAGAGTGAGAGTAGGCACTCACCGGGACAAGCACAACCTCCAACAGACATCTTCTCACATGTTGGGCTCTGCTCGGAACGAAACAGCTGCACTCAGTCCACACGCCGCTCGCATGGGCTAACTCTGAGGAAAACAACACGGACAGAGGGGTGGAGAGATTAGAGGGAGTGGTACAAAGCAGGGCATGTACACCACAACTACACTCCTTTCTCTCTCTCTCTCTCTCTCTCTCTCTCTCTTTCTCTCTCTCTCTGTCAGAGGCAGGAAGTTGGCAGTGGCGCTCTAGCTGCATCATTAATAGGCATATTGCAACACAAGTGGGAGGGAAAATGAGAGAGGAGTGAAATAGGAAGAAAGAACCTTTACGGTACGTGAGACAGGAGTAAGTAATATGGAATGAGACGAGGGACTGTGTGTGTGTGTGTGTGAGTGTGTGTGTGTGAGTGTGTGTAAGGAAGAATGCAGGAGGGAGGCAATTAGAGAAAAGGGGAGAAAAAAAGAGTAAATGCACAAGGTGTGTGTGTGTGTGTGTGTGTGTGTGGCAATGATGCATCATCCATTTTTGCCCTGTGCTGCTGTGGGAGATAAACATACTCAGTAGGAGCCCAGAGGCAGAGGGTCATTACTGCCAAACAAACACACACGCACACACACACACACACACAGTCACTCACTCACTCACACACCCTGCCTCGTGTATGACAGATTTCCATCTCTCTTTCTGTCTCCCTCGCTCCTTCCTTCTGTTTTTCTGCTGCAGAGAGAAGACTGGTGTTAATCACTACAGACAGTATCGATTAAAAATGCAAAGCCCACCTGGAGCGCAGGGACACTGGAGACCCACGGGAGGCAGGAAGAGCGTGCACGTACAAATGTGCACACGCTCACACCCAACAGGAGCTGCATGTAAACAGTCTGACTCGACTGCAGACTGTTTCCCCAGCAGCCTCTGCTTCTTCTCTTTCTTTTCTACTCTTTTCTTGCTTTTTAATCTTACTTCACTCTGTCAATTTAATCTCCTCACCCTGTTGATATTACCTTGACCTTTCTGCATCTTGATGTGGCTTGATGTGATTTTGTTTCATTTCCTTTCCCTACTCCACGTCTCTGGTTTCCCTTCTCACGTTCACGTTCATCCCATAAGTTTTCTTGGCTCGAGTGAGCCTGTTCTCAGAGCCAATAATCTCATAATCTCACACTTCACTACACAAACACACGAGCACATAACTGACTCCCATGAGCTGGATGTCTTTGTTGCTTGCGTACCTGATCCTGTCCGATGGATAACTGACTGAGCTGTATCATTGAGTTATTGTGAGTGAATGCAAGAAAAAGTAAAAATAGAAAATGTGTAAAGAAAAATACAACTTTAGTCTGAACTCACAGCAAAAAAATTACAAACATACACATACAGTGCAGTCTAGTACAGCGATTCACAAAAAAGGGTACTTGTACCCCAGGAGGCAGTACCCACTGAAGGTGTCAGTGGGTACTGGAAAGACTGTAGAGTAGCTCAACTAATTTTACAAAAAGGAAATAGCCTATCCACATATTGAGTCCGTTGTAAAATAAACACGTTTTATGAGAGTATGTGAAAACTTAGCAGACGGGCAGAGAAGTCTAAACAGTTATTTAAAAGTAATGGATAAATAGTTGAATTATTTAGCTAAAAGTAATGAATTTAATATTTTTGGGGGCTTTTTTATTGCCTTTTATTATAGTGACAGCTGAAGATAGACAGGAAAGGGGGACAGAGAGAGATGACACGCAGCAAAGGGC